ACTTCTGCAGTCGTTAATCTGGGATCCATTTCGATGCTCCTCTTGACAGCCCTTTTTGTCCTATCCGATGGACCAGGACGACCCGGACGCTGCTTAGTTGTTTCCTTGCTTGTTTCCTGAACTGCACGATGATTCTGTTGACTTTCGAAAGCGGGATTCCCAATTTCTGCGAAATTTGCCACTGACTTATTCCACCATCTGCTTGACCAACTATCCTTCCTCTAACAAAATCTGACAATTCGAGAGAACCTTGAGTTCTAGGCATGTTGTAGCACAAGATAATAAGTGTGCGGACCATTTCCATTAATATAGTGCTCTGTGAACACAAATTAGTCAGCATAAATCAGTTAAATGACAAAAAATTAGGTGTCTATTTACTTGTGACCGCTCAGTGTATGTACATTAATTGAATTTTCAGATTTCATCAAAGATGTATTGGTAATAAATTTCAATGGCAAAAACAGAGTGACGAATTGCACTTGTACAGAATCAACGTTTCTTTAAATATATACATATATTTCATTTTCGCTCAAACAAAATAACTTTAGCAGTGAAATGGGAACTTTACCAAGAAGCTGAGTTAAGAAAATGAATAAATACAAGAGCTTACTCAGGTGAAACATATGTTTAGTTTTATAACAGCCTCCGAGATGTAGTGTTTATATTCTATCATACTAACACAGCCATAGGGCTGTTGCGCAAGCGTTGTGCCCGCATTGAGCGCCGACACGTGGGAAGCGCGAGTTTGTACCTTTGAGTAGATTAGATTTGATTTTTTTTTATGGGGGCGCCATCAGTAGATGACATACCCCCAATTTTCACTGATAAATTAATCAAAAGGCGAGCATGTTTGGTGTGACGGGGATTTGAACCCGCGACCATCAGATTGCGAGTCGAGCGCCCTAACCACTTGGCCATGCACATAGATCAGTTTTTTTTTAGGAGCGCAGAAAATTTATACCTTGCGCAGGGCGCCATCAAAGACCAGATCGGTACGGACTGTACATACTAAGCAGTATGAAGATACTGAGATTCTGCATATATATACAGATATATATATATATTTCCAAAAAAAAGTTCTATATATTGAAAACTTTAGTGCTATTAATATTCAGAGAAAGAAGGACTCAGCTCACTTACACATTTAATTTAGCCGCTTCTATGCGTTCACCAAATCCATTTTTAGTATCGGTACTCCTAGGCTGAGTTGCATACTTATTGTTTCCGACATTAAAGGTACAACTATAATGTCGGTCTTTCCAGCACTTGCGCAAAAACGAACGTCTTCTTTATTTACCACAACAGGGCTATTATTAGTAATATATTTTTACAATAACAGTAGTGATTTTATAGAGACATTAATACTAAAGTGTACAATGACACAGATGTTTTTTCTCTTTTTAAGTTATTGCTTCAAATTCTTAATTGCCACTTATACTCCTATTGTAAGCATAAGTAGGAATAAATGATGTATAAATTTAGAGGTTTTTGAGAGACGTTTTTCTCAAGTCATAATTTAAATTCTGCTTTTTTTATAACGACTGTAAGAGAAAAGTATCACATTGATATTCTGAAATATATCACAAATATGTTCATTTATTGAAATACTAATTTAAGTGGTAAACGACAGTATCTATCTATTTAGTATTCCAGCACAATCTTGTTATACAAGGTAATAATTAAGATTTCGAACGTTAAGAGAAATAATAACAAAGTTATGTTCCCAAGACGCAAACTCATGTTTTATTCTGACGTCATCGAGTACATAATTAATTTAATACTCTCTTGCCAATTTATTTCCATCTGTGACGTCGAAGATGTTTGAAATGTTATAATTTTTTTCTTAATACATTGAAAGTGCAGGCTCTCTTTCAGTGGAAGCTGTTAGTGGTCATAAAAATATCATCAACTATTGTGCGTTAAATATCGAAAAAAATCGTCTTCTCTTTACTTTCGTAAGTTAAAACTATTCGACAGTGATTATAACCTCATCCCCAACGTTAATTACCAGAAAAAAAAAGAAAAATACATTTCACTATTCTGATTATATTAGGAAAATAAAAATAATGCTTTATAGTTTATACTACTGGATGATAATTACTTAAGACGACCAGACTTGTAGTAATAAAAAATTGATTTAAGGTTAATTATTTTAAAACGATTGTTGGAATGAAATTTTGATCATCGTTGATCCCAGTATTTCTGTTGTATTTTAGACCCTCAATCTAGTGGCGTAATTAGACCTCACTGGGCCAATAAAGTAATAATATTTTGGGGTCATTAACCATTGTTGTTAACTATTATGGTGGGTACCCATGACACTACGGGTAGTTCTGGGTTGAGAAAACTTGATCCAACCACTTAATAACATAGGTAGTTGCGCCCGTGCTTAGACCGTAATTAAATCTTGAATGATATCTGGAATAAAACTGAACTGCAAACCACCACCAAATTTCTTCCCGTTATTAATAAAATAACACATCAAGACTTGAACTGTTTCCTGAACTCACGTTCTGTTATAATTAAATTGGGAAACAATCTTTCTGTTTATCTTTATCAGTCTAATACTAATAGAAATAACAGCGTTAAACTACTTACTACATCTATTAGTTGTGATAATTTGAGGTTCATCCTAACGGTGAGAGTGTCAGAGTTATTTCTGACCGGTCGAACAAGCCTGTTATAGCTGCTCATCAAGTCGTCGTATAGTCTTTTGGCGTCAGGGTTTCCTACCGTAAGAAATGGCGCTACTCGCATCAGCCACAGTATTAGGTTGATCTGTTCGAACTTTCCAAATCGAACGGCCATGTTGCTGTGGAGATACTTTCCGATTGTTATCTTCTACTCAAATTAATGGATTCGTTCACACTTGTAGCTATATAATTTCAGTTCTTTAGCAAAGTTTCAAATCGAAAAATGTTTCTTGTTTTTTCGGTTAATTGGATAATAGAAACACAATTCAGATACCTTTCTATAACTAAACGATTGTTTAATTCATTGTAACTGTTACGGCATCTGCTGCTACGCCCTCTATTGGAGTAACATAAATTAATGTTGAGAGTACATTGATTTTTCTCTTTTCTTGAACAACATAGTTTAATAGTATAAAAAAAAGATACCTCTAACAATACAACAACAATATGTATATATTCTTACTTAAATGTATATGAATACATACTTCTATATGTAAAAAAAACATTTCAAAGAATCGTCTATATAGATTAAAATTGAAATTATGCGAAAAACTATATTGATCCTATTTGCACCGATTTCATAGTTTTCGATGAGCTATTTATACCATATAAAGTTGCATTTGTATTGGCAATCTGACTATCAAAAATGCATACCGAATGTGGCCACTTTTCGGGTAAAGCTTGTTTGTTTGTAAATTAAGCACAAATCTACACAATGGGATATCTGTGCTCTGCCCACCATGGGTATCGAAACCCGGATTCTAGCGTTGTAAGTCCGCAGACATACCGCTGTGCCACTGGGGGGCATTTATTGAATTCAACCTTTATTTACAAGTTTCAAATGTGAAATTAATTAAAAATTAGGAATCCATATAAATGCTCGAGCTTGCAACGTCCCACATATAAGACCATTATTTAATTCATACAACAAATTTTGAGAATGTAATTACTCCAATGAAACGGGAAAATATTGAAATAAAACAAAGTATTGAAAACTTTCTAATAAAAATGTTAAACATATTTTCGCCAAGCTGATATTTCAGCCCCAGTAATTCTCATATTCCTTTATGAACAGCAAAGAGAAATTTACGATGATTGGGTCACTAATTATTACTAAATAAGAAAAAATAAATGCAGTACGTCACCCACGTTCTTTCCTGGTCAGTACGTACAATCATGTAACTTATCCTAAATAACCACGCATATATTGAAGAGCATAGGTTAATAATGCTATGTTTGCATGTGGTGAGAGCAAAACAGGCATCGTATAACTGAAATAATCTTTAACATAAAATTTAGTTACTATAACTATTTTTCAAATATTTATTGCCAACATAGGCTAACAATAAAATATGTTGTTGAAATCCTTGGTGATTAACTCTTATAACTAAAAGTTTTTGTTACAAAATTGTTTGAATTTTATTATTTGTCCTATAAATGCGAAAGTATATATATATATAGTTATTAATATATAGTGGACTTGAAAGTATTATTTCCGGTGTTAAAAACTGTTTTATCTCAAAATGTGTGAATGAACAACAAATGTATAAACTCTTCTCGAAACTTTGAAGCTTACAAATGAAGCAATATCCGTATTAGATAACTTCTTTACTTGACATTATTCTACATTGGTTGTAGATAAGTCTTGTTTTGTTTTCAGAATTTTTCTTATGCTTTCTTTTTACCCTAGGAAATATTTCTGGTTATAATTTTTAGGTTTTAACGTTTTGTTTATCTCAATAATTATAAGTTCCTATTTTAGAGTCGTTTTAAGCAGGATGATTTGAACAAGATTTGCAGGGTTTTTCAATTTTTTTTTACTGTAGCTGCCTTCAAATACACTGAAACTTGTTCTTTACCATCACAACGTAATCTACAAAACTTAAAATCCAGTCGTAGGTATTTATAGAATGAAAAATATTTCTCTTGTGATCAATATAACTTTAGACCTAATCAAAATCGGCTAAATTGAATACTGTGTTTTCAGTCAAACACATAATATTATGTGGTATATTACATTTTGCATAATCGTTATGCTACATAAATATACTTTACCATAAATAGCAAATTGTTAATATAATTTTAGACAGTCTAAATGATACTTCTAAAACATTTCTATCAATAAACCTGAGAAAATATTTACATCTGAAGAAAAGGATTTTGCAGGATAAAGAACAAAGAATAAGATATTACCACCAAAATATAACCAATTTATGAATGAAAAAATTATATTTTATGACTTACAACTTATGATTAGATTAAAAGAACAAGACTGTTGTTTGTTTGTAGTTAAGCGCAAAGCTATTCAATGGGCTATCTGTGCTGTGGCCACCACACGTATAACTTATGGTATTCAGGAACATCCTCAGTGTTCTGTAATATAGTTTTATTTTCGTATTTCTAGAACAATATACATTTTTACACTGTTACAGGTGTGATAAATGAACTGAAATGGATAGTGAAAACAGACAAAATTAAAGCAAAGAGGATGACAGAGCAGCATTCATGAACTTTAGCTAAATTTAGCTACTGTAAAATATTAACATCCTAATTAATTTATAAAACAGGTGGTGTTTAGTCAACATTCCCGTTGTTATTTGCAACCCATCTTATTTTACACAGCTCCATACTCTACTTTTGCTTCTCCCTCTACAGACTTAATGAATAATGTATGCCTAGCTTAGCCTTTAATTATATTTGCAACTATTAATTACACTTGTTTTGTCTTAAATGTTATGTTGTATTTGTTTGTCTTTGTTGGATTGTCTATTGTTTCTAGTTTTTGTTCGACTGAAAGAACATTTAATCTTATTTAATGGTATTTAATCTTATACACCCAAGAAAATGAATAAAACGTAATATCGAATGAAACAGATCACAGACAATGAGAGATGCCAAACAAACACAACTCAACAAGCAATTGCCATAAAAGCAAATAAACGAAGTCGTTCTTCAGGCATAAACCGGAACAATGAACAAGGTCCAATTGAATTATACTTCCAATTCACAACCAGAACAACAGAAAGGTCCCATTGAGTACTGAGTGGAATTGACCAATCGAAGAAAACAATAACTATGTTAGATGTAATATCAAAATTGAATCTTAATGTATATTGCAAAGAACTGGATCTAATATATATTATTGTGCCATATAAATTGACCTATTAAAAATGTTATTATTAAAATGTGACGCAAATATAATTTGTATTAGAAATTTTCAAGTTATCCATATAATTTTATGTAAGATCGTTTAAGTTTTACTACAATATCTATCTGAGCCTATTTTACTCACAAATATTTACTTTTATAGATTTAGTATATATAGTTTTAATTATAGTTGCACTGTAGCTAAGCCATACTTTTACAAATGTTCGACAGTAGGTCGTTTAATCTGTGAAAAACCGAAAGCTTGCATACATAAATATGTCAGTATTTACATGAAAACGCGCCTATAGTTTCATTAATGGAAGTTTCCTAAGTAATAGAGTAATTTCTGTTGAAACAAACACTTTTCTTTATACTGATGACATAGAAAAAAGAAAGTCGTTAGACAAAATGATTTACGTTTTCTATTCCACTTTGTGGATATTTCGACAGTTTTAAATTATTTTACAAGAATAAATTTCTTTTATCTGTTTTCGTTATCGAATATATAACGTACAAAAGAGTCATACTTATCACTTGAATGTCTTATGATTCCTTGTTATTGTCTTCTCAGTGAGCATATATGTGAGAGTGCATATGTGGATAGTTACTGCAGTTCTGTTGGCATTTTTTGTTCTCAGGTGGATTAGCGGAATCCATTGAGTGGTTTATAACTCTAGAATTCTGGGTTCAATTCTTGTAGCGATAATACTGCAGATATCCCACTGTCTAGATTTTCATGAGATTCTAAAACGAACAAGCTGACATATTTTGTGGTATTATGGATCAGGTTTAACATCTCTGTTTTTTTTTGTATTTAAGAAAAATATCTATTTTATTTCACAAATTATTACGTTTCCTGAGTTTAATGATTGTTTGTATTTAAGCACAAAAGACACAAAGAGCTATCTGTGCTGTGCCCACCATGGGTATGGAAACCCGGTGTCTAGCCTTATAAATCCGCAGACTTACCGCTGTGTGAGCGGGGGCGTCTTCTTTTATAGTTGTGTTTAAAGTAAATACATTTGGTGTTATTTCGGATAAAGCACTTAGATTTATTGCTATTGAATTAACAAAGAAATAAAATCGTTTTTATCTTCTGTAAATGTTATTATTTATCCTGCATATTATTATAGACGATGGCAGAGTTTGCTCTTCTAATAAATAAAGCTTCCCCCTTGTCAGACTTTAAAAAAGTGATTACGGTGCCCGAAATGTTAAAAAACGTTTTTTAGCTCTTGCGACTAAGATAATATTTTTTTAGTTGTCTACTTAATCCTCAATATGTCCCTATAAGTCTTGAAACAAAATACAGAGGTTGTGTACAATGTTGGAGACTCACCAAGTAATTGCAATCCATGTCGTGGCTTATCGCCATGTACGATGATACTCTATCTGACGACCATGCCTCTTGACAACAGACTTGTAGAATAGTTTCTATTGCAAAGGCTCTGCTGTAAAGTTGCAAATGGTGAGCAGAGCACAGAGAGCCCATTGAGTAGATTTGTGCTTAACTGTAAAACAAACAAAGAATCCATGTAGTGCATGAGAATGTCAGTTTACCGATCACATAAATTTATAGGAGCTGAGTCCGGCTCCTTGACTGGTATGTCTTGGTATGGATAGCATCAATACCCGTTTCGTTCTCCAGCTGCTTAATGTATGCGATGGTTGAATGGGTATGTCGTGGAAGCAATTTGTGAGCATGTGGGTTGCGTCGCTTTTCTAGACAAAGATTCTTCTTAATTATGTTGCGTACTGGGGCACGTAGACGACTTGTATCATTGACTTTTTTGCTCGTGGATTCTAACTTGTTACAAGACATTGCACTTACCACAGCTGGCGCACCACTTATTGCAGGCCACTTTTTGGATGGTCCTGATGTCCCAGGTTAATCCTTAATCCTTGTTTTCTAATACAATTAAGTACAAGGAATATACAAGTTCATTTTTATCATGTGACTGGAAGAATATATTACATAGGAAAGTGCTGTTTCATTCCTTCTCAAAATTGATCAATTTTCGGTAGCATCACATTACCTATGTAACGCCAAGAAAAAGTCAATATGTATTTCTTATGCAACCGTTACACCGCGACTTTATATAGGCTGTGTTTGTCAGAGTGACTTGCTTATTTACATATTGAAAATTTTTTATAATATAATGTA